AGATAGCCTGGATCCAAACTGTGTGGGGCTTTATAGGTGACACCAACACTTTGAATTGGGCCCAGAAATTGATAGCCAACCAGTGCTGTTTATGACAGGGGCACTACATGATCCCTATGACTGAGCCATTGGTAGTCTAGCAGCATTTTGAACCAGCTAAAGACTGACCCATATACAGCACATTACAGTAATCCAAGCAGGATGTAACCAAGATATGTGTCACTGTAACCAAATCAGGCCAGTCTTAATGTGCCAGAAAATTTGGAAAACCAACACATGTCACAAAACTTGAAACAGATCTGTGTTTATTCCATTACCAAAAAGGGGGGATTCAAAGGTTTGTTCTAACTGCTGCACAACTGCTCTCCTCTCTCACACAAGTAAGATCTTACTGATAATTATACAACACCACCTAGCACCAATCATCAAAAGGGAATTGCCAGATGTCCAAGCTGGTTTCCTTCGGGGTCATGGCACTCATGATCACATTGCAAATGTTCAATGACAGAGAGCCCTAGGAAACCTTGGGGTGTCACTACATTTGGTGGTGAAATCACTGTTTGAAAATCAGGAAGCCATTGTACAAACTTAATATGGAGACACCGACTGGTTTAAGATTGAGAAAATTGTGTGGCAATATTGTATCCTGTCACTTTTCTTATTCAACTTGTATGCAGAAGTGATAATCAGAAATCTAGAGTTAAGACAATAAAAAAAATGGAGGGGGGGAATTGGTGGAAGAAACATCAATAATCTTCAATATGCAGATGATACAGCCCTTCTCTCAGAAACCCAGGAAGGTTTAAAGTATCTGATCATGAAACTCAAAGAAGAAAGTGAGAAGTTTGTCCTTTTTTTGAATATTAAAAAGACCAGACTCATGACAACTGCAAAGAATCAAAACATCAAATAGTTAACTAGTGGAGAGGAAGCTGAATGTGCGGAAGAATTCATCTTTTTAAGTTCACTGCTCAGTCAAAATGGTGATTGCAGCCAAGAAATAAAATGTCAAACCATGCTAGGTCACACAATGATGAGTATGAATCAAATATGGAAAAGTAAGGATGTCAGCTTGATGCCCATGTGCAGATTAGTTTGTACCATTGTGTTCCCTATAACCACATATGGCTGTGAAAGTTGGACAATGAAGATGGACAGAAGGAAAACTGATTCTCTTGAGCTATGGTGTCGGAGGACTCTCGTGTATTCCATGGACTGCAAAGATAACAAATAAAGTGCTGAAGGACATAAAACCATACATGTCACTGGAAAGCAAAATAACAAAACTTACTGGTAACTTATTTCAGCCATGTCATGCAATCAACAGCACTGGAGAAAGACTTTATGCTTGAAATGGCTAGTAGTAAAAGATGAGGACACCAAAGAACACATTGGTTGGATGTAATCAAAGTAGACATTGGCCAAAATATAAAGCAGCTGAAAGAAGCTGTACAAGACTGGAACTCATGGAGACAGCTGGCTCATGAAATTGCCAAGGATCGGATACAACTGAATGGATACTGTAATTCAATTTGAACTAAATTAGACATCTCAAGGAACAGATGCATTGTACAAATACATTCCTGGCCACCATCTTCATTTTAAATATTGTTTTCTACTAAACCATAATTGGGTTTTCCTAAAATCATTTTTTTTGTTTTATCAAAATTTTCTTTCTTTAAATCTTATGTTTTTAAGTAATATTTACACCTACAAATTTAATAAGAGGGCACATTTTAATTCCAAATATAGTCCTAATCCTCCTTCCCTTCCTTATCACAATTAAATAGGATTATTTTTGTTTTATGCAAATTTATTTACCTGTTATTTCTCCAAATTCATTTAAATGTATTTTGACACATTCCATCACCCCACCTGGATCTTCTATTGTTAGTAATGTATCATTTACACTGTACTTTTAAATCGATCTCCAAATCCTAATGTTTCTATTAGTGTTTTTGCTGCTGGCCTTTCCAAAGCCACACAAAAATTAGCCAAAGCTACACAGTAAATAAATAAATAAATTTAATAGGCAAAATTAAGAATGAAAATTGGGGGTGGGGGGAGAGGAAATATAATTGGGAATTTTCTATGAATTTTTAAAATAAATTATATCTGGGTGGAAAATTGTCTTTGGACAAGGTAAAAGAATATATAATGAAAAATGTAGGCAAGAAATTGCAAGAAGCAGATAAAGATTTGATCGAACGGGTTACAGAGGATGAGATAGAAGACGTTATTAATAAATTAAAAAATAGGAAAGATTCCAAGTATAGATAGACTGGGACAAGAATATTATAAAACTTTTTAAAATATGTTAATACCAAAACTGAAGTGTCTAATAATATGTAATGGAAGGGGGAGAAATCTCATCATGGAAATACTCACCAATAGTGCTAATTCCAAAACCTAGTAAGGATCTGACAGGTGTATATAGACCAACTTCTTTAATAAATCAAGATATCAAGATTTTTACACCAATGCAAGTTAAAAGGGTGAATAGTTTTATTGATATGTATATTAAGGAGTATGAGTAGTTTTATAGTTGGAAGGCAAATGGCAGATATTGAAGGATATTGAATATAATACTTAAGCAAAATCAAAAACAGGACTGATTGCCTTAGACATTTTTAAAGTTTTTGACCATGTGGAATGGTCAGCAATAAAAACGTATCCGTTATAATGGGATAAACAGTGGACAAGCCTACATCCACAGGATCTGTATCAAACATAGCATCCAAGTGAGAGTGGATCCAAGCAAAATTGCCTTCAAAATCTGTGCAAATTCTTCACACTGGGTTGGGGAGTGGTCAGCATCTTGGTTTTTTGTTTGTTTGTTGTTGAAGCACCTATTAGGCCTCCGAACACTCAAAAACGTTTTGTAACAGTCAAGAACACTTTTTTCACTGCAGTCAGTGCTTGGGGGGGGGGCTCCCCAAGGTTGCTAAGCTGTTGTCTGTTCTTCAGTGTACAGCATACTCTCCTGGATATGATGCAGCTGCTTCTGAGGGAAGAACGGTTACACATTCTTCCTCTTTCTCACAGAGATAGAAAGCTAACTTCAAAGTTTTTCTTTGACCAATCTAATTGGCATTATGTAACCAGTACCCTATCTGAACTCTGTCAACTATCTGAACTCTGTCAACTATCTGTGAGCTTGTTAAAATAATAAAAGGGAGTCCTCCTGGGGGCGTTGCCCAGAAGAGTAGGCATGGAGGACTCTGCTGGCAGACATCTCTGTGACTGACTTCTTTAACTTCTCTAAGACTAATTGCTTTCTTAATTATCTGATGACCACCTAAACTATCAGCCTTCTCATTTCGTGATCACTACAAGTGCCATGTAATAGGCCTTCAAATAAGCCTCTTGTGTGGCCAGATTCAGTTTTCTGCCACCATCCTTCTAATCTCCATCCGTCATCTCATCATCCCCAAATCCCCCAATCAGAGGGCTGATCAGGCTCTATTACCTGGGGAAAGGTCACTTAGGAGTTATAGTGCCCATCATCCTGGCCATTTCCCCATTCCAGAAGTCAACCAGGACTTCAACAGGACCACTTGCCATGGTAATAGGAAACTCCCCACAAGCTGTCAGAAAACCATTCAAATCCATTAATCTCCTGGGGAAGAACATTCTAATTGGGTTTCCCATCCCTGCAGAGGCTGTGAATTCCAATAAATTTAAACCCCATCAGGTAGTGATCTGCACATGACAACAAAACTACAAAGTTTTTCTGTACTTAATTCACCATCATCCTGCCTAGCACCAAAGACCAGAGTATGACCTGCAGCCTGAGTGGTGCCAAATATCACTTAGGACAAACCCAGCTTAGTCATGAGAGACATAAAGTCCCTCAGTAAGACAAACTGCCCAAAACTGGAGCGATAAAGGCAGAGTGCAAACATATGAAAGCCATGCTGTTCTTGTGATTGAGACCATTGATACTGACATAAAAATTATGGCACCTGAACTATTTTAAAACAAAATAACATATGCTTGTCGGTAAATTCTTGTTTTAACAGTGGGAGTATCTCATCTCCATCCACAAAGCATGTTCTTTACAATTCAACCAGCAGCCGACCCAGGAAATGTCCACCATTGCCTCACTAGAGCCAATTGTTACTAATGGAGGATTAAGCTTCTATGGGCATCAACACTTATTGCAGGGGTCAGCAAAGTGCAGCTCATCTTAGCACTCGTGGAAGTTGACCACCCCACCTCAGTGATTATTCTGCTAGAGTAAACTGAACAGCAAAACAGTAAAAGGAAAATGTGCCTACCTTCTATCAAGGAAGCAGAATCTATTGGCAAATAAATCTTCTAATCTCTCTATAGTGGCTTTTATAGTGGAGCAAAACCCTTCTACTGAATGCTGCATATGCAGATATCAGTAACAATTGCTGCAAAGGCCTCTAGAGAATGCAAACAGTATTTCTGAAGTGCTCACCCCGTACTGTTAAAATAATAAGGATTTATATTGTTTATTGTAAGCCTTGTAATTCTGCATATTTAGCCAAGAAACTGTGAAGCTTTTAAACCTTAAATATGTATGAAGACTGTACAAAGACTATGTCCCACTCAAAAAATTCCCTCTTAACATCAGTCTTCTGGAGTAACAGAAAGGCAGCAAGATCTACTTCTGTCCTCTATGGAAACATGTACTAATGCTGGGTATAAAGGAAGGATTACATTATAACATACTCCTTTTCCAGTGATCAATCCAAATGATTCAATAGGTAAGGTAGTCAACTATGTGTGACAGTATATACCAGGCATGGGATTATCTGATTTTTTCACAACTGCCAAATTTCAGGAGGAATTCCCCCAGCCAGAATTCTGGTTGCTTTAGCCAAAAAAATGAGTATCCAATCTTTGGTTTCTTTTTCATAACATAAACTTATTTCAAGTACATAAGAACATAAATATTATTTTCAAGTGTGTACAAAATTGATCGATTCTTGGTCAACTGATGTTTTCGAAATGACAAAGTAGTCTTAGCATAATTTTAAAAATCAAGATCACATTCCAATAATTTATTCAGTCCTATCACTAGTAAGATCCACTTTTGAGGTGCAAAATCTATTGCCAGCAACAGACTCACCAAAGTTACTCAAAATCCTGTAGTTTACATGATAAAACAAAGCAATTTTTAGACACACATATATATATGGCTCAATACCACATTTCTCCAACAAACTGGAATAACTTTTTATTAAAATTGGCTTGCAAGTGTTTAGCTGCATTCAAATAATAGACATAAGCAATCAATGAAAAGTAACAGTTTAGATTTTTTTAAACACTAAGGTCAACACGATCTTTGGTTTCTGCATTTTTGGTATTCTCATTTTTGTTGCTAGAAGACATATTTTCTCCTATACTTGTTTCCATACATTCCTTTACAGTTTGTCCATTCAATTCATCTTCTCTTTGCATAGGCAGTTCACTGTTTTCCTTGGCTTCACATCCTAAGTCCATTTCTTCCTCTGCCTGCTCTGCAGTAGCTGAGGATTCTGTTTCTGTTTTATTTTCTAAATTTCCTTCTTTCCTCTTTGCTTTGAATACTTCAACTCCCATCATCCTCAAGTAATGCAATCTCTCATTCTTGGGCACAAAAGCACGTAGAGAAGTCTTGCCAAGCCAACCACACAACACAATGGAACACTGAAGAGTATCTGCTTTGCTATAAAAATACAGATAATTAAAAATCTCTTTAATGACACACACAGTTTTGGTATGTTGTGGCTTTAACTGTAAATTCTGCAGTCACATCAATTGATTTATTAGCAGCTTTCAAATAATACTGTTGTCTAATTTTCAATGTGCTGCCACTGCACACTACCACAGTTCAGTAGTAGAACCTATCTATTTCCACAAAGAAGGTCAATAGTCAATTGATCTCTCTCTCTCTCTTTCTCTCTCTCTCACACACACACACACACACACACACACACAGAGAGAGAGAGAGAGAGAGAGAGAGAATAAATCTAAACAAGGCTGAGAGCACTGTCTTAAATGGGATGCTGAAGAACCTGACGGTTAAGAACAAATACAAAGAACCACTATGAAGAGCACATAACACAGGGTGAAATGACCAAACAATCTAACTTCTATTAGGCAGTTACTTTTTATCCTGTGGAAATTCACAGCTGAATTTGAGTATCAGAGTTTGGCCACTGTGATTCACAAGCTGAATACAATACTTAGGAACACAAGCCTTGCCTCAATAAGATTAACAATTGAGAACTATCATTTCACTGAAAGCAATCAGATTTGACAAAGCTGATCTATACATAGGGAGCTCATCTCTGTCTGTTACCACACATACATTGATTTTCTTGCAATCACATGCACACTGAATAGGGGAGTTACCTACCTTGGATCTGGTTCATATTTCAACACTATGCTCCCCATAGCTGCAAGAAACACGTTTTAACATATTATAGTAATAGATTTGCAAAATGCAATTTATTACACACTATTGCATTAATGTGGGCAACCTGCACATGGCCCTTAGCACACTCACCATGAGGTTCGATAAGCCCTGAAAAGCCCTGCCCATTTCCTTTGACTAATTAACTGGGCAGTAAAAATAGAAATGTTTGACTTTGTGTAAGATGTTTGTTTTCTGTAATAAGAGGACACCCTGAACAGACAGGTTGCCCCTCCTACTTGTTTCTGATGGGCAGGAACCAAGGTTCCCTCTACGCTGGGCATGTGCGTGCATGCGTGTAGGCACCTCTGCCTCCCTGCATGCAGCTGTCTTCCTCCTCTGCACAGTGATCGCGTTAGGTTCCGGTTGTGACAGGTGCATGCTGAGAGAGAGAGAGAGAGAGAGAGAGAGAGGTGGAGCCCCACCCAGTGTAGCTGAAACTTAAGAGGGCACGTTGGCAGGAACTAAATAATGTATCAGAACAATCCAGGGCTCCCTCAAGAGGAAGAAGCAATCCTGAAGAGACAGTGTCATGTCCAGGCTCCAGAGAAATCAACAGACATAATAGAAAAACTGAGGCCCAAAAAAGAACATTCCCTAGCATAACAAACCACAATCTAAATTACGAAAAATATGACACAGGATGTCCTCCTCTCACTACAGAAAACAAATGTCTCAGAGTATATTCTTTTTTCTTGTAGTGGAGTTGCTTGGACCTCCCCACTTCCCTTGTATTATTATATAAGTAATACTGAGTAACACCTTCAGTCTCTAGGATGTGATATCTTGAAAAATCTCATCAATATGTTTTTGTGCATTCTTTGATGTGGGAAAGAATGAAATACCTACAGGTGATTTTTGAATATTCTACCTGGTACCTCAGTTTGATGGTGCTGAGTATCTGTTGATCTGAATTGTGTGTCTCCCAAATATGGACAAAGTATAACTTTCAGAAGCCAGAAGGCTCTGCCTGAGAAGATGCAGTGTGGTTCCAGTGGGTTTCTCTAGTAGGGAGTTCTGGGGGAAAAGTCTCCTCCACTGCTTTCCCACCTCAATCCCAATTGGCCAGTCCATATGCCAAATCGTGGTCCGGTGACCCAGAGTCCCCAGAAAACCCAGAACTGGGTGAAGTTCTTCTACTCCAGACATAATTTGGGTCTGGCAGGGACAGCCACTACTCCTCAGATTAAATATGGAGTGAAACTTGAGAGAGAAAAGGTTTCTTTCTCTCTTTTTTTAAGGAAAAGGATGAATGACAAAGAAATGGCGAGCTGGTACATGAGTGATGTGCACCTAGCAAAGTTAAGCAGAAATGAAATAACTGTCTCCTCAGGTTGCCTCATCCTCTTGAGGGAATTCTGGAGAGCTGTGATTGGTCATTCAGTTGCTGCTGATTGGTAGCAACTGGGAGAGACAGCCTGTCTGTTCAGATGCCCTTCACCATCCAGTACAAGAAAAATCACTGTTCCTGAACTGCTATTAGCAGCACCGGAAGAATGATTTTCATTTGGGTCACTGGGAAGAGGATATATTAACTTTGAAGCCAATGCAATTGTTAAAAATTTCTCAGCTGACGTTACTTGCTATGAGATGTATTACAGTGAAATAGATGAACACAAGTAATTTTCTCTTACATATAGGTAAAAAGCCCTACCTCTGGATTGCAGGCTTTCTACTTGTAAGTACGCCAGCAGATATATAACACTGTATAAGTATTTGCAAAATACCAACAATTTGCACTGCAGCGAGAGGTAAGTCCTAAAAGTTTTTCCCAGGCAAATAGTGGAACGCAAATTCTTGAAAGATGTCACTGTAACTACTTTTCATGTTTAAAAATTCTACTACTGTATACTATTCCAAAATTAGGGAGCCCTTGTCCCCCATACTGACTCAAATTGGTATGGCAGAAAGAGTTATGAAGGGGGCTTTGATAGTATAACCTCCTTAGGAATATACTACAAAGCTGAGTTAAGAAGTTACTACTGCTAAAGAACTGAAAAGGCTAAGCCAATTTCTGATCTTGATATATCAAATTAGTCAACAGGTTACACTTACCTATTCCTTTTACTTCACTACGTGCCTCATTACTAAATTTATATAAGAATGGATTCTCTTCTGTTAATAGCACTTTCATATCTTCTATACTGGCATTTACGATCCTTGCGTTGATAAAGGGATACAACGTATATATTCCCTGCAGATAAAATACAGTATAACATCTATTTTAAAAAGACAGTGCTGGCTTTTCTACTAGAATGGGCCTGGTCATTTGATGTCCAAAAATAAAAGCATAACATGCACTTTAAATCAATGCTTTTAGTACAGACTGTCAAATCCAGCCTCCTCCTTCCCAACCCCAAATCATTCAAATGCTAGTATCTGATCTGTCAATTAACTGCATGCAAACTACACATCAACATGGAATTAAAATGTTTCCTGTTTTATTTCTTGTACTTTATTTCAAAATGTACTTTCAAGGGATTCCCACATAGCCTTGGTAGCTTGAGCCCGTACAAATCTTGGCTAGTGGTAGACTGATAAAGAATTACATTTTAGAGCTGGGTGTTGCTGTTTTTTTTAAGATTGTATGAACTGTCTTTTTTTATTGGATAATCTATTTACAAATATTTTAAAACTAACCTATTGACTGAAATTTTGTTGCTTAGCATAGTAAGTCAGAACTAAAGTGGGGCTCACCCTCAATTTACTGTAAGCTTTGTATCCCAAATCAGAGTCTGAAGATGGGACAGTATCAGGGTTCCTTGACTTCAACTGGTGGTGGTGAGACTTCAAGATTGAAGCATTCAGTGCAGTCCATACAGTGAGAGGTTGCTCTGAATCAGAACTGGACAAGGAAAATTTTGGTACCAATCAAGCATGTTTCTGGGCCATAATGTGAGAAGGCTCGGGGGGCATTTTGAAGTGGACAGGTACCTCTTACTGTGCCAAGGTGGGTGGTGATAAAGCACTGGGGGGGGGGCTGGCATCAAGGCTCAACATGCAGCTGGATGTACCGATACTTGCCGCCTGTGCAAGTTGGGGTAGGATGATGCATGTGGCCATTCTAGACCCACACAGTGTTGTGGTAGGCATCAAAGAAGGAGGAGGGGTGGACACATCCCCTCTCAAGTCTGTATGAGGACAGTCAGAACGAATGGTTGAAAGCCTGGAACTGATGACTGTTATATGTCTGAACTGAATGATGGTGAAAGACAATGGGCATTTGTGGCATGCTGGCGATGCTGTTTCCCCTCCATATCCTTCTTTTTGGACTTAGGGAGAGTTGGGGGCTTGATGTCAGACAATTGGGTCAGATGACTCCATGAAAGCAAGCATACAAGGACCATGGTGGGCAAAATTTGGGGAGTATCTCCATCCTCTGAAACCAAACCTATTCACGCCAGGTCTCCTTGGCCTTTTTTCTGTGAGGCCAATGACTGTGCAGCTCAAGGATGGATTACTACTAATGACAGCTGTTTCCCACAGGTTTATTTTTCTTCTAAACCACATAACCTGTGCGCCCCTGCCCCCCAAATTACAGCAGCTCCAATAATAGCCAATCAATTTCTGGGCACAATTCAAAGTTCTAGTTCTAACCTATGTAAAGTCCTAAATGGTTTGGGTCCAAACTATCTCAAAGACTGCATCTCCTTTTATGAGCCTGCCCAGCTATTAAGAACATCGGGAAAAGCCTTTCTTTAGGCCCCACCACCGTCACAGGACACAGGAGAGGGCCTTCTCTATTGCTGCTCCAAGACTTTGGAACTCCCTTCCCACAGGGGGCTAGGCTGACCCCATCTTTGCAGTCCTTCTGCAAGCAGGTGAAGACCTTTATCTTCAGGCTAGCTTTCCCATTATGACTGGCTGCCTGAATGGGTGTTATATATGCATGGTTGTGCCTTACTGCCTTGAATGTATCTGTTTGATCCTTTTTAGGAGCCTCGTGGCGCAGTGGTTAAATCGGTGTACTGCCGCTAAAACTGCTCACGACCTGGGGTTCAAATCCCAGGTAGCCGGCTCAAGGTTGACTCAGCCTTCTATCCTTCCGAGGTCAGTAAAATGAGTACCCAGCTCGCTGGGGGGGCAATGTGTAGCCTGCATAATTAAATTGTAAACCGCCCAAAGAGTGCTTGAAGCGCTATGGGGTGGTATATAAGCAGCACGCTTTGCTTTTGCTTTTAGTATTTGTACACTTACTGTTCTTAGCTATGAATATTGTCTTTTAATGATGTAAATCACTGGTTCTTAACCTTGGGTTACTCAGGAGTTTTGGACTGCAACTCCCAGAAGCCTTCACCACAAGCTGTGCTGACTGGGGTTTCTGGGAGTTGCAGTTCAAAAGCATCTGAGTAACAAAGGTTAAGAACCACTGATGTAAATCACCTTGTGTCCTTCTTAAGGAGAAAGGCAGGGTAAAAAAATTATTACAAAATATGACAATTTATTTTTATTTTTTATTTTATATCCCGCCTATCTAGTCAGCTCAGGACCACTCTAGGAACTGGCGAACAGCTGTTAGATGGAGGAGCATGACCTAAAAGTTAGGGTGAGGGCAACAACTTTTTTTACGCTCTGGAAGATTTCAAGGTTGCCTGCAGAAGTGCAGAACAACCCCATTAGTGTGAATCACAGAGACCACAAAGAGGTATATCCTTTTTCAAAACTCTTACAGATAAACCTCTTCTGGAAGTCATCATTCTTCCTTTAGGTCAGAAATAATGTTTTTCTTCCTTTTTTACATTATTCACCCACTAATCAATGCAAATGTGGTTATGTTACCACCTGCTATTACTATTGTAAATGGCTATACTACTTACTTTTTATACATTTAAAATTTATTTTGAAATATCACAGACTGTAGCTTGTTGCATTTTAAGGCCACTTGGCTCACTGTTTGCACCTGTCAATGCAAGAGAAAGTGAGAAATCTACCAAGTAATGTTTCATGCATCTCATGAGATGTATCAATAAATTCTATATAGCAGTAAAAATGCTGATCTTCACACATACATAATAACCCAAGCCACAGGTATCACTACAGAAACTTATGCAGACAATGTAATGGTCATACTTTTACTATTATTACCTCTTGTGCTAATCTGAAGGCACAGCCAAACTGCTCTCCATCAGTATTTCTGGACCACACTTTTATTCCTGTGTTAATAACCTGATTTTTTTTAAAAAGAAAAGAAAAAAGTTTAACATATTAACCATTTCAGTTCTTACTAATCTGAATTAACTCAGCAGGTGAGTTACAAAGGTACAGACTATGTATCTTGGAACATATAACAAATAGGTGTGAGTAAACATATCTTGTTTACTTCAAGGATGGGGGAATCTCCATGGGGCAGAGGGCATTTTTATTTTAGTTATCAGCTCAGGGACTGCACTCCCACAAGAAACTGTGATCTGCTGCCAACAACTGATGGCAGTTTCAGGGACACTTTCTCAGTTTTACAGTACTAGTCTGTACTGTAATTACTATTTAGCAATTAGCAGTTGCTTACCAGATAGGCTTTTGCTTAAAATTGGAGTTCCATACCTTTATTGTATCTTAGACTGTTTCTTTCTTTATTCATATCAGAGTGCTGCACAATTTAAAATTATGGATCTATATAAAATATAGGTAAAATTAAAAAGAAATTAAAATGTTAATACAGTGGTGCCTTGCCTAGCGATTGCCTCGTTTAACGATGTATTCGCTTAGCGATGAGGTTTTTGGAGCGATCTTGCGCTCCGTTTAGCGATGTTCCCTACGGGGAAATTTCGCATAGCGATGTTCGGGACCTTGCCTCGCTTAGCAATGACAGTTTAGGTCCCCTGTTTCGCTTAGCGATGTTACGTTTTCGCTATTTTTAAAGTGTCTTAAAATGTTCAAAAACTGTTTTAAATGCTTGGAATAGTTAGTGCACCTTGTAAAACCTTTGCAAACTTAATTTGGCTTTGTTCTGAGTCTTTGTTAATTTTTGGTGAATTCCCCCCCCCCATTGGATGCATTGAACTGCAGGTATGACAGCTGTTTTACAAGGTGCACTAACGATTCCAAGCATTTTAAACAGTTTTTGAACATTTTAAGACACTTTAAAAATAGCAAAAACGGACCTGTCAAAACCATTAAATAGGCTTCAACCAAACTTAATTTGGCTTTGTTCTGAGTCTTTGTTAATGTTTCCTATGGCGATTTTCGCTTAAGGACGGTAATCCGTTCCCAATGGAATGGATTAACCGGTTTTCAAAGCGTCCCTATGGGAAATGGTGTTTCGCTTAGCGATGTTTTCCCATAGCGATGTTTTTTTGGGAACCAATTAACATCGTTAAGCAAGGCACCACTATATAATCTTAATTAGGTAAGGAAGCCATTAATCATTGTAATATCTACCAGGTGTGACCTCTTCTTCTGCATGTTCACTAGAGGAACACCGTTCTTTCCTTTTACATGTCTAAAGGTTAGGGGATGTTTAGATATTAGAGAATCACTGTCTCCAATTCTTTGATTCCCAAACAGTCCCTAACCATGAAAATATGAACAAGACACCAATAAAATTGAATAACATTAACTCTAATTATCTGAATATCTGTTGGAAATGTGAGAAGGAAATTGGTACATACTTTCATATATGGTGGGAATGTGAAAAAGTACAAAGATTTTGGAAATTAATCTTTAAGGAATTAACTGATATATGTGAAAGGGATATAGAATTTAATCCTGAGATAGCTTTGTTATCAATATTTGAAACATGAAATATGATGACTAGAGAGTTGATTACCAATTTATTAACAGCAGCTAGATTAATAATAGCCAGGAATTGGAAATCAAAATGAATTTCATATGGAAGAATGGTATAATGAAATATGGAATATTGCTATACATGATAAATTAACTTGTAATTTAAGTTCAAGAAAGGAGAGATAATTTTTTCTAATGATATATGGGGCAGATTTATTGAATATGTGCTAACAAAAGGAAAAGGGAAAGTTCCAAATCAGGAATCAATGCAGTTCTGAAGAAGAGGACAATAAAGGAAGAAGAAGAATAAGGACAATGGAAGAAGAAGACTACTGCAAGAGGTCCCAACTAGGGTGGTGGGGCACACAATTGACTTATATTTTGGTTTATGTATTTTATGTTGTAGTTTATAATAATATAAAAAGAAAAATATGAACAAGGAAAATACAAACTGTACATTGAACGAAGAACATAGAACTAGTACTCGAAGAAATAAATACACAGACTTCTTTATACAGTTAGGATACAATAAGACACTGAATATCAATGTTAAGCAGAAATCAAACCAGTAAGCAACTACTAATTATTAAATAATTTAAAATAACAAAGTAAACAATGACTTCACATTGCTAGGATTGTCCCACCAACTACTGGTGGCTTTCTAAGTTAAAAAAAAAGGAGGCTGAATGATGGTACTTCCTTGTCTTATTCACAAACATTCAAAAACATAAAAGGGGACAACAGAGATTTGCCATAAGGCACCCTGAGTGGATAAAACTTACCATAGTCTCACATAAGGAGACTTTGAGACCATATCAGTGCTAAAGGAGGCAGTCAGATGAAATGAACAAGAAGAATCAAAGAACACATGCAAATTTGACATTAGTGACATTTCTCACCAGAACTAAACAGAACAGAAAGTTCTGAGGACAAAAAGGGATACTGATATAGAGAAGTTTCAGTAAGCCCCATTCAGAAAGGCCACTGCACACTGAAAGAAGGATGGAGCTCTTTCTAGTGTTGAAGCTGAGCAGCACAATCCACTGCCCCCCACTGTATTCTCAGCAGAGAAGAGCAGCAGACACTTCTTGAACAACCCAAGCATATGGACAGAAGAGTAATTCTCTTCCTACTTTGGTAGCATTAAACATGTGGGTTCTCTGACTGAAAATAGAAATGCATGTCAAACCTTCAACTTTTCACTGTTATTCAGGAGGACATTCCTTATTTCCTTGGAAACCATGTATAATTGCCTCTTCTTTCCCTCCTGAGTACGAGTTAACAAATTCATTTTGGGAAATGATGGATCCAAGGCATAAAAAGACCTGGAAATGAACAGTTATATGAATTCAGTTTTGATTGTACTTTTAAATTGTTGGTGTTAAAACTATTTGTTACACAGACAGCTCTAAATCCCTCCCTCCTTCCCAAAAAGCAATACAACACATATGGACTCTGAAGGAATTTGTGTATCTTCAGGTAGCCAGGCTCCTCAAAAAGGAATGGGAAAAGGAGAAGAAATTTAACAGTGGTATTTTGTAAAATCTTGGACAAGCTAACAGAGATAATCAATAGTATGAGAAATAGCAATAACAAAAATACTAAAGCAGATGAACTCTGTTATTATTATGTGCCATCATGTCACCTCCACTTTATAGCAACCCTATGACTAAGCAATCTCCAAAATGTCTGGCCCTCAACAGTCCTACTCAGCTCCTGCAGACACAAGCCAGTCGGTTCTTTTAGGGAACCTCAACAGTCCTACTCAGCTCTTGCAAACACAAGCCAGTCGGTTCTTTTAGGGAGTCAGTTCACCTCCTATTGGTCTTCCTTTTTTCATGCTGCCATCAACCTTCCCCAGCAATATTGTCCTTTCTAGATAATCCTGCCTTCTCTTAGAAATAGTTCAACTTAGGTTTGAGATAAGATCCACTAGTTTTATCTTTCTGGCAGTCCAGAGTGTCCATAAAGCTCTCCTCTATCACTACATTTCAAACAAATCAATTTTCCTGTTAGCTTTCTTAATTGTCCAGCTTTAATATATACATGGTGATGAGATACTGTATACAAGAGTGTGGATGATCATGGCCTTCGTCTCCAGTATTCTTACATTTGATTATCTTTACCAATTCCTCCACTGCTGCCCTTCTTAGTCTCAGTCTTCTTCTGATTTCTTGGCTGCAGCCTCCCTTTGGATTGATGGCTAAGCCGAGGTATACAAAATCTCCAACTATTTCAATTTTTTCATTGTCGACATTAAAGTTATGTAGTTCTTCTGCAGTCATGATTTTTGTCTTCCTGATGTTCAACTGCAGGTCTGCTTTGGTACTTTTTTCTTTCACTTTTACTAAAAGTGAAATGTAAGTGAATACAGTAGTAAAACTAAAAATGTGTAACACTCTTCGCCTTTTATGGTTGTAATGTAAAGTTCATGGGAAACAAGTAGGATGAACTTGACTACTATGTGGTGGTAAGTAAAATCTGACAAATGTCACTGCAACCTTTTGAGGTGAGATACATGATAGAAACATAGCAACTAGAGATGGGGATGAAGCGTCAAAATGGTGATTCATTTTGGTTCATGGGCTGTCAAACTTGATGACTCATGGCCCACGAACTGCCCCCCAGTGGCCTGATGAATCATGAATCAATTCGTTGATAAGTTGGGTCTGTGGTTGTTGTTTTTTTTAAAACAGCCCATAGGGCTATCTAAAATAAAGCTGCGGCTTCCATGGAGGCAGAAGCTAGACTGCTAGAACCATGGTTTCAATTCCAGGAGCCTAGTTTTTGCAAGGAAGAACGAGGAGGGTTTCCCTTTTGGCAAGCCTGGCGGAGGCGATTCCCCTCCTGTCTTTGCACAGACAGCAAGGGTGGAGGATTGCTTGGGTCCTCCTTCCCTCCTCTTACTATGCCCTGGCAGGGACAGGAAGAAGAACAAAGCCTGATCTAAGCAACCCTCCAACCCCACTGTCTTGGATAATTTATTTGGTCAGGCTTCCCTCATGTATGCCGCCGAGACGTAGAAAGACGGGAAGCCTGACAAAGCGATCCCCCCATTTTTTAAACAGGGGGGTGGGATTCCCTTTAGGCAGACTTTAGTAAGCTGCCTGAAAGGGAAAACCCCTTTCTGCTTATGCCCCTGGGGAACAGCTGATGCGCAGGGGCATAATCAGATAGGGATAGATGAAGGGACTAATAAAAAAGGGTTATATTTGTTGGGTATTCTTGACCCCAAGAATAAGAAGCAACAAATATCTAATAAATCAGGTATATTCGTTGAATATCCCGATTCATTTCTATATTCATCCCCATGTCGAATAGCAAGTGAAAAGATGTATCTTGTTCAAAAGGAACAAGTCAATAGAAAAGGAAGACTAGCACTACATGTGAATAATGTATAAACCTATACAGAAATCCATGATTCTGAGATCAGAACTTTGTTGGAAGTTCTTGTGCAAAACTGAAGAAACAAGAAAGGTGTGCTGTAGCAGTGTATTATGGATTGTCCAACCTGTTAAACAATTAGAGTGGTACATTCCTGGACTAGATGTCAGAGACAAGCTATGGTAGGACATTTTAACTACCTTGAAACTATCAAGTCTAACTGTTTGAACAATGGAACACATTCTGACTTATCCAACTAGCTACCATTGTTCATATTTTGAAAGCCAGATAAAATATGTGTTTTATACAGTGATGCCTCGCAAGCCGAATGGCTCGCGCAACGAAAACTCACAAGACGAAAGTGTTTTGGGATTTTTGTGGTGACTCGCAAGACAAATTTTTCTATGGCCATGCTTCGCAAGATGAATAGGAACACATTAATTAAATTTCAATGCATTCCTATGGCAAACTGCATTTTGCAAGATGAAATTTTTGCAATACAAAACAACTCGCGGAACAAATTATTTTCGTCTTGCGAGGCATCACTGTACACAAATTACTTCACAACTGCTACCCATATGCTGAGACAGAATTATTTAAGAACAAGTGAGGTGCTCGAAGATTAGGGAAAACAAAACTGTCAATTTCTTTAAGGAGAAAAGGATGGATCCAGAAAACTAATCAGCCCAATTAATTCAATACTGGACAAAATTCTGGAAGGAATTATTAAATTATTTGTCTTTGAACATTCAGGAAATAATACACTGCTTGCTAGAATAAAGAATTTTAATTTTTTTTGTTGTTGTTCAGTTACTTGTTTGGCATTACTGTAAACACGGTACTTCTTAAAATCAGAAAGCATTCAACAAAGTCTCTCATGACATCTGCATTCGGTTGGATATGGTTGATACATAGCTGGTTGAGGAACCAAATAGCACAAGTGCCAACCAGCAGTTTAACATCCCACTGAAAGATGTTTAAGAAGAGTGCCATAAGGCTTTGTTCTACACCCTTTGCTTTCAAGATTTTTATAAATGAAGTAGATGAGGACCTAGGAGATTTGGCTTATCAAAAGTCCATATGATAAAGATACAAGGGATAAATCAACATCACACAAGATAGTATCAAGGTTTAAATAGATTTAGGTAGGACATAACTTTCAGCTAAAATTAACAACACAAAACTCAACTGAGAAAAGTAACACAACCTTTGTTAACAGATGGGTAGGATAGGATAACTTTACTATGGTCAAGGACCAGCAAGGAATTAACAGATGTATTCTGTCTCGGGGGTGGGTGGGTGTAGAAGTAGCAATAATGTAGAATATCTGATCCGCATCAGGCTGCAGGTGAAGAACTGCATCCAGTTCTATGTGTCCACTGAATAGTAGCAAGGTTGGTGACTGTTCTGTAGACCAAATCCTATCAGATACCAGTGAAAAAAACTGGGCATATTTAGCCTGTTGAAGAGTAAATATGAAAGCAGACATCAACTACCTAAAAATCTGCTATGTAGAACATGGTACATGCCTATTCACTGTTGCCCCAGCAAAAAGAATTACAACCAATGGCTGGCGGGAAGCAGATTTTGGCTAAACATTTTGACAGATTAAGGTGGCAGCAAATTCTATTTCTTTGTACAGTATTGCCAGGGTATTGTTGCTGGATACTGACTTTAGACTGAGCTGAGTTGAACAAGAACTTCAAAGCCCCTTCCTTTCTATGGAAACTCACTGTGTCCTTTGCTTTTAATTCAAGGTATTAACCACATCCAGAATTGGGCTAATTCACCCAATGAGTATTTAGCAACTGAACTGAATGAAAAGAACAGATTTCTTACTGAATAGGTGGAAACAATGGATCATCTTCAGAAAGGAACACAAATGGATCTTCTTTAAATCCAAAAAGCTTCATTTTTTTAGATGGTGGAGGCCTGGAAGGAAAACAGGTTTGTTCACATTCTAGAATTTTTGACTGGTCTTATGAATAAGTTGCTGCATTCCTTCCTTCATTCCACAAACAAATCTGTGGAATACAAGGGGAGGACAGTTGCCAACCTGGACACTGAGGCATGGTTACTCAGACAGAGGTAAACCGAGAGCCTGGCCTCAAAAGAAGTCCAGAGCAGTTAATACCATTTCCTCACAAAGGAAACAACCATGTGCTTGGTGACTAAACATGCTAGGTCCATTCCCCCACCCAGAGCTGAATTACCCCAACCTTTTCTCAGTGCTGGTGCCAGAGAGTAATACTGGGATGTATATAAATACAGTATGTTTCTTCTACACAGTATGACATATTTAATATGGGTTACCTCTTGCAGTAGCTTTGACAGGCAGCTCTACTTTTTAACTAATCAGGAGAGTTAAAGGTACCCTATAGTGTAGGTAGACAACCTAAGAATAGAAGTCTCATTTCCACGCCATGAGACTATAACAAAGGAGTAGACAAAATCAAAGGAAATAAGATGGGAACAGCAGATGGCTTCTGGGTCAACTGTAGAATTGTATCAGGAGACGCACACTCTTAACAGAAAAAAAAAACGGTCATAAAACTAAGCTGTCTCCCACACACACTCTTTTCATTACACTGCCTATCTGGGAGAAGAATGTCTTCTTTACAATGTACAGGGTGAACATATTACAGCAAGTTCCAATGCTACTTTCTCCTATAGTGAGGGAGAACATCTTTATTACGGGACATACCGTAATTAGTTCAGTCCCTAAGGTGGAAAGCGGTGCTGGCTTTCTACCTCTGAGAAATCCGGTTGTAAGACATTCAGCTTAGCACCACCTGGTCTAAGACTCAACAACTACCAATAACCTCTGGTGACGCAAAATGTTCCAACTTGTAATGCCTGACAAATGACAAATTTGCTTTCCATTTTATTGTGTCTGTGACAGCAAAATAAATACTACTGCTGCTGCTACTGCTTTCCAACTAATGACCTGACAATATCTTGCAGCGGAATTCAAACTTCTTTAAACTGTGCATATTGCTATGCTTTTTGTGGAACAAGCCGTAATCTCCCTAGGCAAAACCAAATCAGTTCTTATAACAGAGTGTAATACAGGCCTCTTCCAGTAAGTCAGCACTGCTTTTTCTCTTTTTCACTGATAAAAACTGGAAGGACATGAGCAACAGGTCAATCATCCTAAACTCTCTTGTTCTCCTCAAACAGATTTTTATGGCTCTGTACACAGTGATTTTGGGCCACTCTTTCTAGTGGTCAAATTAGCTAAGCACAAAACATAGGTTTCCTGAATACAATGAAAACCTGTTCACTTTAGCTACAAACGAAATATCTAATCTTAGAACCACCTCATCATGTTGTAGCAAACATATTCCACATGTTATGGCCCAAACCCCTAGCTCTGATGCTATATGTGTCAATAGCTGTGCAGAAAAGATGTTTTAGGAATTCTTTACATAAAGGTTCAAACGTTTATCTGGCTAGGGCTTTTAACACATTATGTAGGCTTCATGAAGGAAAGAGACCATTCAAGACTCCATCAACATCACACCTCTTTAAAAAGTCTAATGTCCAGGTCTACAGAGTCTCCACCTTTGTTCTTAGCACAGTGGACAGAGCTGCTATCTTTGCATTGTATTGCATGATAACCCTCAACCATGCCATTCTGAAACCTAGAACAGCAAATGTTTTCAAAGGGCCAATCTTCCCTGCATATGAAACCATGTGCAAAATGTCCTCAAAGGGGCATTGCGCTGTTTGTCAGTAAACAGCCTTAAAATGCACTCACTACTTGCTCCAAGTACTCTTACCTAAGAAAGCTCCTGCATTCAACCTTCCATGCAAGAAGCTAAAGCCAACTTGTGTCTGCAAGCTGAACTATTCCTTGACTGAAAGATTTTTGTGAGGTGGAAGTGAGAATGATGGCCCTGCAATATCTAGGACATCTGGGATCATGTACTTCATTGCCAAAATGCTGCCACTAGAACTACCTGATGTCATTCTGCCCAAATCCTACATAGGATTTAGCCCAAGAGCTAAATAGTGGCAAATAGTGTACAAATGTCCTTTCAGTCACCAAGCTTGTCAGGATATATATTAATTTTGTCTTTTTGGTCCAATATCTGGAATCGGAGCTACACACCTACTGGTTCTTTCTGGAAACAAAGATGTCCATCTCCAGACATCCCAGACAGTCTACAACCATACTGAACACCCTAGCAGAAAAGTTCCACTTCCCCCAATACATATCCTAATGGCTCAAACCAGGCTACATCTCATTCTCCATTTCTGCTCTCTTCCTACTTGTTGATAGTTCTGCCTCTTCTGTAGCCAAAGGTGTGGGAGAGGTGAAAGGTACTGACAACTCTCTATATTCATCCTCTGAAAAATGTAGGACCAAAAAATAATATTCTAATCCTAGCAGGACCTCTTCCAAGTACAGTGGCGCCTCGCTTAATGGGCGCCCCGTTTAACAACGAATCCGCATAGCGATGAAGATTTTGTGATCGCTTTTGCGATCGCATTGCGATGTTCACTATAGGCTCCCCCCCATCATCGCAAATGCCCCATTTTTGCACAGCTTGTGATGGGGATGAGCGATCATCCCAGAAAAGAGCCGGGAGCCATCTTCTCTGATCCAGCCCCTCCCCCTCCCCGCCTCACAGCTGATGGGCGCTGCTCTTAGAAGCTTCCCCAGGCTTGCCCAGCAGGTAAACAGGCAGTGGAAATGCACTGGGGAAGCCTCTGAAAGCGGGGGTGTGGCAGGGAGGCTTGTCCCTGCCACTCACCCCAACCCAACCCACCTCCACCCCGGCAAAGCTCGGCTTTCAGAGGCTTCCCCAGTGCATTTTCCCTGCCTATTTAGCTGCTGCGGAAGCTTCAAAGAGCACTGCGGATCAGCTGTAAGGCGGGGAGGGGCTGGAGCAGGGAAGCTGGCAAAATGGCCGCCCACTGTGTTTTGGCCCGGATTCCTCGCTTACCGGGCAGCGAAAATGGCCACAGTATGGAGGATTTTCACATAAAGGTGAGTTTTTTGCCCATAGGAACGCATTAAACGGGTTTTAATGCATTCCTATGGGCTTTTTTATTTCACATACCGACGAATCCGTATAGCGACGATTTTGGCTGCACGGATTATCGTCGCTATGCGGGGCACCACTGTATTTGGTTTTGCTACTACTTGAAGAGTATTGAGTGGGTGGGGGTTCATATAGGCAGACACTTTAAAATGGCACCCTCTTTTTTTTTAAGCACAGCTGAACTGAAGGAAGCCAGTTTGGGCTCTCCCTTTGCTCTGTTTAAGTACTTCCACTGCCCGGAATTTGAGAGGAGAAAGAATCTCTGGTGTCACGTTTTGGAGGCTTTAAGAGAAGGACTGATGTTGGAGAAACAAGAGGCTCTTCCCCAGCCATGCAGGAAACTTCATCCTTTGCAAACTGGATCCAATTACAGCTACAGGGAGAACATACCAGCTAACTCCACAGGAGATGACAAAAGAATCCAACATGCTAGCCAAGAAAAAAGAGGTTCTTAATCATTAGGTATAGAAATTTTGGTCTATTTTGGGGGCTAAGTCAATTTAAATCCTTGTCACTGGCAACAAGAAAATTAAAGTTTTGTATCTATTAAGATACCAATTGACTGGCTACAAGACATGTATCTTTCAGTGTGAATTGTTTTTGAAAACTTTAAAAAATTCCATTTTCCCAAAAATTCATTTTTTTAAAAAATGTGTACATTTTTTGAAAATGTACAATTGCATCATGTTGTATATCGAATGAACGCCCTATTCGTAAACTTTAAAATGATGCCTGTCCCAGGTCTGTAGGTATCATAGGTATCTATTAAATCAGGGATCCCCAACTTTTTCACCCTGCGGACCGGCTGGGGAAGGGGGGGACAACCCCCGCGTTCGTGCACAAATGGCAGCGAAGCACTTGTCTGGGCGCACTTGCACTCATGTGCATGCACAAACGACGGCACGGGGCTCGCACGGGCATGCTGGAGCATGTGTGCATGCACAAATCAGCTGTGCGGGGGTGAGTGCATGTGGGGGGGAGGGAGGTCTGTCTCCACGGCCAGGTCTGGCTTATGCCACGGACCAGCACCGGGACACAGAATAGGGGTTGGGGACCTCTGTATTCAATGACATTTGAAGTTATGGTGGCTAGTGAATTTTGGCCTTTTTTGCAGTTTTGAAAATGCAGTATCTCAGAAACAGGTGGACTAAAAAGTCTGAAAAAATATTTTTTAAACATCTCAAGGTAAGGTACAGATGTACCAAAAATGAACCAAACCAATGACATCAAGTTCCAAAATTGATTTTCATTGGTTGATTTGACATGGAATGACCCAATATGAGTCTCAAGATGATTTGGATAAATTTTGATAGGTACCAGAAGCAACAGGATAAGTGATGTGCTGTTTCTTTAACTATATACACAGATTAATCTGCACTTCCTGTCTTATCTTATGAATACTCCAAATAGCATTGTCACAATTCAAGAAAGGCCCCAGATCTTTTCAAGAGTGGTAATAGTGCTTCGTTTCTTACCCACAAACTCCATCTTTTTTCATTTCTGTACTTTCAATCACCAAGGTGTTTTCAGTTTTGGCATCTGTAGTTACATGGTCTTCAACAGTTTCTGAAGATCCTTGTTTCCCAGGTATGGCATCTTCTGCCTTCCATGGCAGCTCTTGATGGAGCTATTTCAAAAGAAAAAAAGCAAGCTGCAATGCATTGAAAGAATGTCTTATCGTTCTATGACTTGGATCTCAAAATTGCTGGTGGTGGCCAATTTTAAAAACACTCTGTTATATAAATTACATCACACACATAACTTACTGTCTTCCTTCACACACTCTGAACAAACGCCGTAAATGTGAGTTAAATAAGACTTTAAAATAAGATAAAAATGTTTTAAACATGTACACCAAGTTTTGAAAAAATGGCCAAAATATTTTTAAATACAGGTTTATCGTATTTTGTTTAAAGACTTTGTGGTCTCATCTGCCCATGGTAAAAATTAAATGTTACTAGTATAATTATATGAAATAATTTTAAATTATGCATTAGTTGTCTTCTCTGAAAAGTTAAGGAGGAATAGCAACCCAAACATAATCACCCAGCAATGCTTGGTTTGGGCTGAGAGTTGGACTCAATGATCCTTAGGTCCCTTCCAGCTGTACAATTTTATGAAAAACTGTATTTTGCCCTAACTTTGTGCATTGGATTTTCCTGTGTAATTTAAAGGAAATGCCATCTTATAATCAGCTGACAGTATCTTCAACAGTCTCAGAAGTACTACTAACTTATCTTATTTCAAGTCCTCTCAAACGTATATATGAATGTATGCCTTAAAATGCTAAAATAGGTGTTGTACATGTCATTATCCTCCCTTTGCAGAAGATATAGAAGTTAAAAAATATATTTTTCCAGTTTAACGCATTAGACATGTGTGAAGGTTCATTTTTTGGGGCTTCCGGCACTTCCAATGAAGGACGAGACGGTTGTAATAAATCAACTGGTTCCGTATTTATTGCAAGGTTAACATGAACAGGAACTTCATTAATAAACGGGTTTAACATCTCTTGTAGCTCTAACCTTGGCTGCAAGGGTGACCATAGATTGTTAACAAACGGGTTGCTGTCTTCTAAGTTCCAGGGTCCTGTTATCGGCTTCACAGGACCTAAGCCATTGTCCATTTCCCCCTCCAGGGGAATTAAGGGTAATGTTTCTTCATCCCCGCTACAGTCCCCCAAGGACGATCCCTCTCCTGTACCGGCCACCCATGGCCCGGGAAGACTCCCAACTTCTGCAACTCCGCCATATGCCATTCCTTTTTCCTTTCCAGCTCGCGTACCACGGCTTCCCTTTCTTCCCTCAACTTACGTCGCCACTCCTTGGCCTCTGTCTCTACCCAGTATGAAGGATGGGACTTAAGACCTTGTCGGCGTCTCCTTTCCGCCTCTTCGTGGGGCACCCTCACCTGCTCTCACTTGTGGGTCCATGGATCTTCGATCCAGATCCATTCCCAACCCCCCGGGATCTCCTCCCACTTGCCTTTTATCTCCCCGGCTGCTGCCTCAATCTCCTCCCCTCCCTTTCCCGCCAAAGTTCCCCCGGGCCTTGGGGTGATAGTTAACTCCTTCAGCGCCTTTTCCAGATCGCTGGTATCCACCCCTTTGTTCACTTTAACGGGCTCCGGGCTGCTATTCCCCCAGTCAGGGGTCTCCACTCCTTTATCTTCCCGACAAGGTGGTGAAGGAGGTGGAGATGTCTGTGTGTGTTGGGCCTTCGACGGGAGCGACGGCACTCCTACATAGCCCTCCATTTTGGGGGCCTCACAGCATGATCCAGCCAAAGAAGTGTATCTCCTTGAAATGAAAGGAATGTTGGCACTGTGGAAGATTCATTTTATGTAGCAGAAGGAAGATATCCTCAAGAGATGGGTTGTCTCTACTTGTTTGCACAGGCAGTACTTATCAGGTAATCAGGAAGCACTAGAAGCTCCTTAAGATAGAGTGATCAATCGTTGTTGAACCAGTACTCCTTTCCAGCCACCAAGCAGAAAAATAGAGTAAGCAAGACAGAGCACTACAGAAAAAACAGACTTGGTAGGTGCCCCTCTGAGGACCTAGTCATAATCATCTAGAGAGAGAGCGGAGGATATCCTCCTACTGGGCAGCACCTATAGAAGAACACCGAAGATCAGTATATGCTTTATAGACTACAGCAAAGCCTCTGATGGTGTGGCCCATGAGAAATGATGGGTAGTTCTGAAAGAATGTGTCTCAGCAATTGATTTTCCTGATGCATAACTTGTAATGTGGGTAAGAATTTACTGTTAGGACAGAATATGAAGAGACAGAATGGCTTTCTATAGGAAAAGGTGTCAGACAAGAGCGCACTTTATCCCCTTATCCAGGGATGGATAATTAATTTCTATAGGGGGCCACATGAAAAATCTGAACTCTGTTCGGGGGTTGAACCAACTTTACTTAAAAATAAAATGAAACAATGATGCTATGATTGTTTTTATTTTAAACTTGTTAATCTTCACAAATACTAAAGAGTTTTTTTGTGGTATGTTAAAGATAAGCAACTGATCAACTTTAGACAAAAAGCTATAAATGGTTTTGATGTTTAATTTGTTCACTGAGAGAACTCCAGTGTGTCTTGGGCTTGAACAAGTGCTTGAACACCGGACTGGAGTGATGACCGGCGGGTCGGACAGCAGCGGCTCGTGGGCCGTATGTGGCCATCGGGCTGCACTTTGCCCAGGTCTGCCTTATCTGTTCAATCTGTATGCAGAACATATCATGCAGAAAGCCAGACTAGATTTGGATAGAGGAAGAAAAACTGGTGGAAGAAAAATCAATAATTTAAGATTTGCAGATGACACCATCTTACTGGCAGAAAGGAGCAATGGGACTCGAAACAACTTTTAGTGCCAGTGACCTCTCAGCAGCTTTCAACACCATCGACCATGGTGTCCTTCTGGATACGCTGGCTGGGTTGGGAGTAGGGGGCACTGTTTTACGGTGGTTCCGCTCCTTCCTGGCTGACCGTGTCCAGAGGGTGGTGCTGGGGGATAGTTGCTCTGCCCCATGGCATTTATGTCATGGGGTTCCTCAGGGCTCGATACTGTCCCCCATGCTGTTTAACATCTACATGAAACCGCTGGGAGAGGTCATCAGGAGGTTTGGGCTGAGGAGTCAGCAATATGCTGATGACACTCAGCTCTAACGTGTCTGGACCTGATAATGGACTGGATGAGGGTTAATAAATTGAAACTCAATCCAGACAAGACAGAAGTGCTGTTAGTGGGTGCTTCGCCAGACAGGATGGAGGGCCATTTCCCTGCCCTGAATTGAGGTACACTCCCCCTAAGAGACAGGGTCCGCAGCCTGGACACCAGTCTAACTCTGGAAGTCCAGGTGGGCTAGGTGGCCAGGGTCGCCTTCCTTCAGCCCCGGAAATTGTACCAGCTACGGCCCTACCTGGACAAGAGGAGTCTCATGACAGTTACACATGCACTGGTAACATCTCGTATAGATTATTGCAATGCGCTCTACATGGGGCTGCCTTTGGTTGACTGCAACTTGTCCAGAATCGAACTGCGTGACTGGTGAGTAGTGGGGCCGTTAGAGAACACATCAAGCCGATTCTGTTTAAGTTACATTGGTTACCAGTTGGTGCCTGGGCCCAGCTTGTTTTGACATATAAAGCCCTAAACGGCTTGGGCCCTGGATACCTGAAGAACCGCCTCCTTCCATATGAGCCTACCCGGCAGTTTAGATCTAGCCAGGAGGCCCTTTTGAAAGAGCCGTCCCTCAAGGAGGTAAGAGGGACAGCTTGTAGACAAAGGGCCTTTTCGGCAGCTGCCCCCAGACTATGGAATGCCCTCCCGAATGAGATTCGTCTGGTGTCGACGTTGATGACACTTTGGCGTCAGGTCAAAACCTTCCAGAAATGCTCTAATTCTGTTAATTACCACCCTCTCAAATGCAAATAAACAAAACAAGACAAATAAACCAAAAAAAACCCCCAACCAACCAACATACCCCAGAATGCCAAATGCAAAAATACATTTAAAGTCGTATCTAGTTTGGTGTTCAGGCAAAGCCATTCTGCAATACATCTACTTGAGGACTATTTTGTAAAGTAAAATGGACATACATTTGAGTGATTTGCATACTGATTTTTTTAATTTTTTTATTCTATTTATATCCCGTCTATCTGGTCTTGCGACCACTCTAGGCGGCTTACAAACACATGGAACAACAAATAGATATAACAAACAAATTATTACATCAAATAGCCAGTTTTTCAAGATGGAGAAGAGAAAAAAAAACCAAAAAAGAAAAGAGAAGAGGAAAGAATCAAATATTAACTGGAGTGAAGGCCTGCCTGAACATCCATGTTTTTAATTGTTTTTTTAAAACACCCAGCGAAAGGGCCGCATGAATCTCCGGAGGCAGATTGTTCCAGAGGCGAGGAGCCACCGCCGAGAAGGCCCGGTTTCTTGTTTTTTCCTTCCGAGCCTCCGTTGACGTCAGGCTCCTCAGCCTCACCTCTTGACTCGCTTGGGTGATATGGGTAGATCTTGAACAAGCATTTCTAGAGCTACATTAATGTACTTTAGCTTAAAACAAAGTATGTTTCTTAAACCATAGTGAATTGTTCTATTACTATATAATGGCTAGATTCCAAACAATCACTTTTTTTTAAAATTTTAGATTATTTTCTTCAACCAAAACAACAGACATCTACAAATACTACAATTTTACAAATCACTATTTATTCACTTATGACATAACCAATCTCACTTCTCCACTCTGTGCTACCCACCCACCACTTGGGACTAGTTCCATATTCTTCATTCTTATACTTCAAATCACCCCATTTCTCTCTAGTAATACATTGATTCTTCACCCAGTGTATACCCCTTCCCTTTCTGTAACACATGAAGAATCACTTTAAAAGAGATCATGATTCTGAGAAGTCCAGTGGGATTTTTAGATTCTTTTTTTCAGCATATGCCATGGCACACTATTGCACCCCCCCAAAAAACACCACTTCCACTAGTCAGGTTCAAATGCCTTTTCTTCTTCTGTGATGGACAAGGCGTGCTGAGACACACACCCAGGTTCTAAGGGGACACACCCAGGTTCCAAGGGGACACAAATCTCTTCCTCAGGACCTTTGGAATCTGGCCTCTCCTTGAATCAGAATTTGGGAAGAATTTTACAAATACATTTACAAAGAGCAAACATTACCTTGGGCTGGCGCTTATTCCATGGCATGCGAGATTTTTTAACTAATACAGCTACAAAGAAGCCTCCAGTATTTTGATGATGTGGCAAAATTCTAAGGCTAGATAAACAACACAAATTGTTTGTATCAATATTCTAATTTTCATATCATCTCACAGAGGTCTAAATTGAGTATCAACACAAAATGTTAGACATCCTTACAGAGATGAGCACTCAAACAAACCCTCAAAGGTTTTCTCCAGCAAATGTATGTGAATGATCAAATACAAGATCAAAAAAAATGAAACCCACGAAAAGTTCATTCACATTACATAAACCCAGCTCATTCAACAGCAAAAGCTACCTAGATAACAACTGAAATTAACATTTAGCATGCAAAGTGTTTGAAGGAAATAATTTTAGAACCAAAGTATGCTTACAATGCTTCATTTTTTGGTGTAATTTGCACTTTAGAAAATGTTTACTTCTTTACTACCTTATTTTATCATCAATTCCATGCCCTCCCTTTTTTTGTGGTGGGAATATTCCTGACATTATAGAACTTATCCTTAAAGGTCAGCATTCAAATTCTGGCTCTTGAGGTGCACTTTGAACTATTTTTCTATGTGCTCAGAAAAATGTAGTTTGGAGACATATAATGATAATGTTTAGACCTTGTGTCCCCAGATGTTCTTGGACTACAACTCTCAGAAATCCTGGCCAGGATAGGTAGTGATGAAGGCTTCTGGGAGTTTTAATTCAGGAACAACTAGGGACCCAAGATTGGGAACCACTGGTTTAGATCAACCTGAACTCAGAACAGTATACTATCCTGAGAAGAATACCACTTACAAATGGTCCTGAGGGGTGAAAGTTTCCATTTCCATTAATAGATACCACACAAGATATGCTGACTGCTGAAATTTTCAATGACAGGAAGAATATTAACATACCAGCGCTCCAAATTTAATACTTTAAGTTTTTCTTCATCTTTTAAGGGGAACATAGTGGGCCGGATTTGGGTTTGTCTGTTGGAAGGTACATCTTTCCAGTCTTCAAACCACTGACCATCTTTTGTCATTACCTATGCAGGAATATATAAATATGATATGCCACTGATTACTCATGTAACAAAGTCAATGCTTCCTCTTCTGGTTTTCTGAGATACAAGGTGTGACATTAGAGAAATGACTGTACTGAGATCCAGCAGTTCAATGATGTAGCAATGGCATGAAAATGGATATCAAAAAGAAACTTGTTACCAGCTAGACAGACTAGGCTGGTTGAGGAACTGAAGAGAAACCTCTCCCCATTTGCTAACTTTTTTGCTGGGCGTTTTGCCAACTAAGATGATATACTGTATTTTTCAGTTTATATGATGATGCTTTTGTCTAAAATATTTAGATTAAAAATTGAGGGTCGTCTTATACATGGAAGTAAGGAGGGGGGAGGGATCAAAGCGCTCTGATCCCTGCGTTCCCCCTCCACTTGCTAAGCCCTCCTTAGATTTCTTAATTTTGGGTTAGAAAAGGAGGGGGCTCTTACACATGGGGGCGTCTTATACACGGAAAGATATGGTATTCCTCCAAAATAAAGACTTCCTCCAGAACTATTACAGACTGGAGATGCCTCCATTACAGAACTAAATAAAGATCTCCCCAAAGAGAAAGGTAAGAGAAGGACTTGAGAGTACCTATTACATATGCAACAATAAGCTGCTGCTCCAGATTTGGAAACCATGTGTTCATATCAAGTCTGTACAACATATGGAGCACTAATGTAGCACATCAGTTACGTGCTTTAGCTTGCCACAGACTTCATATACAGTGGACCCTCTACTTAAGGAATTAATCCGTATTGGAATGGTGGCTGCAAGTCGAAAAGTCTGTAAGTCGAATCTCCATTGACCTACAATGCACTGAAAACCGATTAATCCCATAACCAGTGGTTTTTACTCTATTTTTATTCCATTTTGGTTTTTTTCTGGTCTGTAAGTCGATTCTCTGGCTGCAAGTGGAATCTAAATTTTGCAGCCAGAGAAGTCTGTAACTCGAAAAGTCTGTAAGTCGAGCCGTCTGTAAGTCGAGGGTCCACTGTACCTATCCCTTGCAATCATAAGCAGGAGGTTTACTGAATCCCTGATGAATGTAAAGAGTGTAAACTGCTACAAGGCAATTTCATGAGCTCAAACATATGAATAATTTGAAACATACTACATTTTCTAATATAACTTCTACTTTTCTTGCTGAAAGTATGACTGTGATTGCGCTATAGTATGCATTTTATATAATTACCTTCCACTGTGTAATCCCAGGCATTCGCTTTAGACCTGGAAGCTCTGAAGAAACATCAGCAAGTTCTAAGGCACCTTTGAAAAAAATACAACTATCATGAAAAAATGATTTGTTTATTGTATTTACATACTGCCCACCTAATGGCAAGCCACTATTCTGGGGAGTTTACAAAAGTCAAATACAAACCCACAACATAAACCCAAAATGATGCATAACACTGACAGTAACAAAACCAGACATGATAATAACATAATAAAACACAACAGCTAAATTAAAAAATAAATAAATTAAAAGATGGGTCAAGAAATTTCTTACAAGGGGAGGATGTTCCTGAATGCCTCTTTGAATAGCACCATTCTGACCTCTTACTAAAGGACAGAAGGGAGGGAGCTTGGTGTACATGAACAGGCAGCAAGTTCCACAATGTCACAGCCCAATGTCACAGCCACCACTGAGAAGGCCCGATTCCTGGCGGTTGCTTTCCCAGCCTCCCCCAGAATAGCCACTTTCAACAATGAAGTTTGAAATGATTGGGTGCAGGGGTCTCCAAACTTTTCACTGTTAGGGCCACATAATATATTTTTTGCATTTTCAAGGGTCAAAGGAACACATACACATATGCCATCCCCCTATCCCACCCTGCCCGCTTGCGCCCCCACACGCATGGGCCAAATAAAAAGGCAAGGCCCGCGGGCTGTAGTTTGGAGACCTCTGGTCGAGGTAGAAGATCTTAGGGAGAGACACTCTGAAAAGTACTTAGGTACCAAATCGTTTAGGTCCTTATAAGTTAAAATTAGCACTTTGAATTTGGCACAGAAGTAGACAGGGAGCCACTGCAGGCTTGCCAGAATCAGAGAGATATGACTGTATCTGGAAACTCCCAAAATTAGCCTGCGAACCACATTTTGCACATGCTGCAACTTTCACATCATTTTCAAAGGCAGCCCCATGTAAAGAGCATTGCAATATTCAATATTCAATATCTGGCATGGGAAAACTTTTGAGAAAACACAACCTACAGACCCACCACGAAAATACAGTGGTGCCTCGCACAACGGGTGCTTCACACAATGATGAATTCACACAACGATGCCTTTTTCTGTTAAATTTGCCGCCTCACACAGCGATGTTTCCTATGGGGGATTTTCACACAACGATGTCTCTTTTTCGTTCCTGTAAAAGTGTCTTACAATGTTTGGAAGCCGTTTTAAATGCTTGCAATGGTTAGCCCACCTCCTGAAACCTACGCAAACTGATTTTGGTGTTGTTCTGACACTTCGTTAATTTGTGGTGATTTTTTGTTTTTCCCCCTCATTGAACTCCATGCATTTCAATGAGGGGGAAAAACAAAAAATCACCACAAATTAACGAAGTGTCAGAACAACACCAAAATAAGTTTGCATAGGGTTCAGGAGGTGGGCTAACCATTGCAAGCATTTAAAACGGCTTCCAAACATTGTAAGACACTTTTACAGGAACGAAAAAGAGACATCGTTGTGTGAAAATCCCCCATAGGAAACATCGCTGTGTGAGGC